CCCTGAGTTCGATCCCCAGCCAGGGAGCTAACCCACATGGTTCAGCAGACCTCTCCTGGGTCACCTGCTGCTCCCCTCAGCAGTGTATTTCAGTCAGTCTGCCTGTTCTGCTTCCCACTCTGTCTCTGGTGAATCCTCTCATCCCCAGCCCCCACACCTCTTGCCTATGCCCCAGTTCTTGTATGCATAAATAAATAAATCTTAAAAAAAGGGGAGCAAAGTGTAATTTTGCTTTAGTTTACATTTATTTTTACTAAAATTCTATTTGATTTTTTTACCCTAAAATTAGTCTGTTCATGATTTAAAAAAAAAAATATTTGGTGCATCTTTACCTATGTCCTTATTGATTTATAGACTTGCATAATCTTCTTTTGTTTGTTTAGAAATTTCAAGTATTTTCTGCCTTATGCCACCTCTTAACTTTATCTAGGCTATAATTCATTGCCTAGAAATATTTATTTTGATAGAATAAAATTATAATTTTCTGCCTTATATTTGCATTTTTGGTATTTTTAAAAAGGCACCTTTCCAAACTCCTGATGGAAAAATATTACTTTTTCTCTATAAAATTTACTGTTTCACCATTCCCATATAAGTCTTTAATTTGTATAGAGTCCACATTTGCATGGGTTATTATGTAGGAATTTAAGCTCATTTTCCCATTTATACTATAAACCCTCTCAAAATTAACATTAACAAAAATAATGCCATTTCAATAACAACCCCTTGCATAACCCAAATAGGTACATAACTAAGAAAGATAAATACTTGTAATATCCAAACAAATTTATAGCCTGCCAAGGTACCATTATGCAGGCATCATTGTTTTATCTTTGAGATTTCTAAAATTAAAGACTATTAGGAAAATGCCAGACTTAGCTAACAGAAGTTATTAGAAACAGGTGTTTTCTTAAATCTCAATGGCTTTCATGTGGAGTTTGACAGAAAAAGGAAAACCTTCTTTTGATAAGGTACAAACAATTGTTTCAAGCACTCCGACTTCACCTTGACCTGCTTTAAAAAAAAAAAAAAGCAAGCGATTTATAATATCAAATACTATATAAATAGCTCCAGCTTAGACAACCTTTCACCCATGACCCTTAGGTCTCACTTCCTTTACTAAATTTAGCTTTGGATGCTGGCACCCCTTGTTCATGTAACAAAGCAACAATGACTACTAAATCTAGGTCTTTTATCTTCTGCCCAACCTCACAAAAAATGCTGATGTTGAGAGGGTTGTACAGTAGACAGATGATCCATCAAGTCAATGTGCTGGCTAACTTGTACGTTTGTGGAATTCAAAGACTTGTCAAGTAAATGTAGCAAAAAAAATCCATAATTATACATATCCTTAAAGAAATTTTTATAGGTCATTTGCCAAGAGCTTTTCTTCCCTGTCTGCCAGATGGCCAGTGTTTCTGGTCAGGTCACCATGCACCTGCATAGCGGTTCTGAGTTGCCTAAGGATCTCCTTGCTGTTGCAGCAAGGCTCAAGAGTCTGTCTGAATTTACTGAAGGATCGCTCAGCCAACGTGCCAAGAGCTTCTAGCTGATTGTTTACAACCAGTAGCAGTAGCATTATCTCATCTTTGAGTCCAGAGCACAACTTATCTTTCCTGCGGAAAGACAGATATAAAGGCACTTAGAGGCAAACACATCACTCTTTCTAGCCAAGGATAAAAAAATCAAGTCCCCAAACCAGCTCAAATGAGGAGTTCTTCTGCAACTTCTCGAACCTACTGAGTGAATTCTGAGTAGTGTGATGTCTAAAGAGTTCCTGGTTTTGTTAATGTCACTTCCTGAAGAGCACTGTGAGGAGGAAAGCTGGTTGGGGAGGGGTGGATTAGGAAAGGCCTCCCCTTTAAAATCCAATGAAATGGGAGCTTTTGTTGTTAAATGTGTCCCATTTCATTTAAAATTAAAACGACTTACTTTTAAGAGAGTACAAACCAAAGATATTTATTAAACAGCTTGATCCATTATGGTGCTATTTTTAAAAAAATGTATGTGTGCCCTGTGTGTGCCTATATATATTTTTTTTGAGGGGGAGGTTAAGATTTTATTTTTATTTATGCATATAAGAACTGGGGTACAGGCCAGAGGCACGGGGGGTGAGAGGATTCACCAGAGACAACGTGGGGAACAGAACAGACAGATTGACTAAAGTACACTGCTGAGGGGAGCAGCGGGCGTGACAGGAGAGGTCTACTGTGCCATGTGGGCAGCTCCCTGGCCGGCCGGGGATCAAACTTGGCTGCAGAGGCTGCGGACTTCTTCATAAGTTGTGTCTTAACCCCTTGCGCCACAAGAGAGGCACTATATATATGTTTAAACTATGAAATATTTTAGTTGTAATTCTTATTCATCCATGATCAAGCGAGGACTTTGAAAGTTGCACCCTGGCATGCAGCTGGCTCTCTGTGAGTAATTTAGTAATGCCATTCACATCTGGGGGGAGCACAGAGGTCTGAGCACTTTGCCTTCTTGACCTGTGCAAAAAACTTGGAATTGAGCATTAAAAGCATCGGAATGTCTAAAAGGCACATCACAAATCCTGACTTGAAAGTCAATGTAAGTCCCACAAGTGAATCTCATGCCGTGGCTCATTTGGTAAAGTTGATTTTAATAATCACTTTCTCCATTTTACATGTAAGAAACTGAAGCACAGAGAGCAAGCTGGGTGGCATTACTGCTCAGACCTTATAGACTAGAACACTTGGGCTTAACACATGTAGTAGTTAAAGATTATGCCCAAGATCATATATCTGCTATTTTCATTTGCTAGTGAATATGAGTACAAATTTTTAATAAAGAAGATATGTTTCAGCAACCAGAAACTTGCTTCTCAGAGTGCAGAGAGGAGGCACAGAGTGGAGAATCTTTGCAGACTGGGATGTCCAAGGGGGAGCTGGCCACTGCCAGCCCTTCGGTGGCCAGCTCTGTCTGCCACTGTGGCTGGCTCCTCACCGACTTGTGATAAGCGATTGAACTAGATCCGAAGAGAGCTAAAGATGGCCTAGATCAGGGTTGGGGTAGCAGGTACAGAAAGGAGAGACAGACTTGATGAATGTTTTGAAAACATTTTTTGAGACTGACCAAGAAGTTACGCTTCATCACATACTCACTGCTTCTTTGGGAACTATCTTCTGGTCTGATGGTGTCAGTTCAAAAGGTTTCACTTCATATGATTTGTCTGCATAGAATTCATAAGTGAGTGTTTCATTAATAGCTTTCAGCCATATTTGAACAAGCATTAATGCTAAATGTTGAAATGTTTTCTAGATGTGTAGATTTTATGAGATTATATAGTGGCTAGATTTCTGCCTTAGACAAATATATCTGTGAAGATGACATTATCTAATATCCTATGCATCTTCTTTTTAACATTTTCTTAAAAAGATTTATTTATGCATACAAGAACTGGGGTACAGGCCAGAGGTGCGGGCCATGGGTGAGAGGATTCACCAGAGACAAAGTGGGGTGCAGAACAGGCAGACTGACTGAAATACACTGCTGAGGGGAGCAGCAGGCAAGACAGGAGAGGTTTACTGCACCATGTGGGTTGTTCCCTGGCCAGAGGGATCGAACTCATGCTGCAGAGGCTGTGGATAGCTTCACAGTGCTGTGCTTAACCCCTTGAGCCACCAGGGAGGGCCCCTATGCATCTTCTTGATGCCATCTTGATGACATAGCCCTTTACAAAGGCAATTAACAACAATGAAAAAGCTATTGTAGTTGTTCTGCCATCAGTTAATGTTTTTGCAGTTATTAGATGTCCCTTGGAGTGATTCATGACTTTAGTAAGCCATTCCCTAAAGATGTTAACTATTCTAATTATAACACATGCAAATACACTTGATTATTCATGCTTAATATTAATTCTGTATTATCATGAAATCACAAACTCCAAAAGAGGTGACTCTTCTTTCCAGTAGCATTTTTATTCATGATTCTGTTCAAAAAGAGTCTCTTGCACATAATAGGTCATCAGGGCAGAGCTGATCCTCATTATTCATAGATTGCAATTTATTGTAATGTCACCAAAATCAATGCTTGCAGTATTTTCACAGTCATTTGTGGACAGACACTGAATGACCAAAAAGTTGTATCATTGAGGCCAAAATTCCCAGGTGAAGCAAACAAGGTGACATGATGTCTTTGTAGTGAGCAACTACCCATCATGTTTTACTTAGTGCCATGTTTTTCTCATTCTGTGCTACTTGTTGGTAATCTGACTGTTTAAAATGGCTTCTAAGAGTCCTTTTGGTAAATACCTAGGAGTGATGCTGACTTGCTGTGTTGGAAAGGATGCAGAAAGGATTCAGGCATGAGTTATGGTGCTGTTGGCCATGAGTTCAATGCTAATAAGTTGACAATATGTCCATCCTGACAAAGGAAGAGGAGGCCATTCCAGGGAGAGCTAAAGTAATAGCAAAAGAGCTTGAACTCTGGAAAGATGGAAAGTGGCTGGGTCTGTGGATTTGTGAGCTGACCCCTGAGGAAAAAGCTGTCGTGGACAGTTCTATTGTGAAAACCAAAGACATTTCTGGTCATGTCAATGAGATTCAGGAAAATGTTAATGTGGTAGCTTCCTTGTTTTGAACAGTGATGTGTTGGGACAATGTTAAACATTCAGGAGGGGCAGATCTTGCAGATCAGGAGAATGAGAAATAATTATTAATTTAACAACCTGTAAAATGAAATCATATTTAACTTTGTTGAAATTCTTTTGAGCAACTTTGTTTGATAGAATTAGAAAGTCTAAATAAGGCCAAATGTATTAATCAAAAAGATGCTGACATTTACAAATGCATTTTTGTTGATATTTTTATTTCCTCCTGAAAAAGTGTTTAACTCAGAAATTAATTAACATTTCTTTTTTATTAGAATTTACCAATAAAAAGAAAATGATTATTAAATTAAGTAGAAAAAATTCTTAAGTTTGTGTTACTTAAGACTACCCTGAATTAATAGTTTTGTAACTTTTACCCTTTTAATAGAAATACAAAAAGATATTTTGCAACAAGTCAAATGGAGTTGGAAAACTGTAATTTTCATCTGCTTTGGAAATAAGCCAACTATAAGAGAAGACATTAAAAAAGACTTGGATGATGATCAAATTTGAGTCCACCATAAAGGCATATACATCTGGCAAGAATTTAAACTTAATAAAATTTGATGAATGTTGTTTTTTTCTATCTGCATTTAGGAATAGACAGTAGTTTATCATTCATAAATATGTATTTGATTCTTTATTCCCCCATACTGTGCACATAGAAAATGTACAACTCCAATTAAATAGACTGAGGCACTCCCCTTTCTGTAGTGTGCACTGGTCTTTTATGTGTTTATGGATTTCCCACCACTGAGATGAGATGCATGAAGAAACCTGGTGTCAGAGAGGCAGTTTCCACCTGCACCTCCCATATGATGTCATTCAGAAAAATTCCTTAATTGCTTGGTATTCATTTTCTCTTGTGACTGTAAAAAATTAATACAAATTTATATTTTAAACAGTACACATTTGTGATTTTGTTAGCGGGTGGACTGAGGGGCACCCCAAACCTGGCACATGATAACTGGGTGCTGCCATTCACTGCATGAAGACAAAACATCCTCTTAGTGTATAAGACTTTCAATAGAAAAGAACTTTAATTGTATTAGTGTGCAATAGAAAAAGAGCAATAGAAAAATTGCAATAGAAGAAGAAAAGAAGGAATAATAGTTTTGAATTAAACACCCTAAGCTACCCATCCTCTCATGGGTAAATGCCCAGGCAAACAGGGTTGGCCCAAAGTGGGGCTGCTGAGACCCAAAAGCTTGTCGCAAGTCTAAGGCACCTTCTGGTGGGGACATGTAGGAAAGGGGTAGAAGAAGCAAGTCTAGAAGAAAAAGAGTAAAATAAAAGAACAAGTCAAGATAAAGCTGTCAGTCCTCCCTGGTCTCTGCCCCATGTCTCTTGCATGTGTCTCCTTCCATGTCCCCATGTGCAAGTCCAAGATGAAGAGCAAGTGTGGCTTCTTCACCTGTTTCTCTACTCCAAGTGCCTCCTCCCAGTCCTCTCTCTTGTCCTGGCAAATCTCTCCCAAGTTCTTTCCAGCTTCCCCTTGCTATTCAGCCCCACCCTTCATTGGGTGGGGCAGAGGACATGGAACCTCCCTTTTTAGATTACACTGTTATAAATTTATATTCTGAATGTCAGAAATCCTAACGTGACTAATACTTTTACTCTGTCTAGCACAAAATATTTTTTACATTATTTTCTTGGTCTCTGAATCTTATCAGTCGCATCAAAGTTTTTTTTTTTTTAATTTTATTTATTCAAAAAATAATAATTGCTTAAGGCAAGGGGCTGAAATGTTGTGTCCCCTAAAATTCGTATGTTGAAATCATGATCTCCAATGTGATGGTATTGGAAATTGAGATGTTTGAGAATTATTTGGTTATGAGGGTAGAGCCTTTATTAGTGGGATTGGTGCCCTTATAACAAAAGGCCAGGGCGGTCCCTCATTCTACTGTATGAGAAATATGAAGGAGGGTGCTTTTTAGAATCCAGATACACTTGCACACTGGTCTAGCAATCTCAGCCTCCATAACTGTGGGAAGTAAACCGCTGCTTATTAGTCACCCAGTTCATGGTATTTACTTACAGCCCCATAGCTGCGTAATATCCCCATTAAGTATCAGCACTGGATGAGAAACTATTGACCCTATCTTATCTTTCTTTCTTTTTTTTTAATGATTTGTTTATTTATTATTACAAGAACTGGGGTATAAGTCAGAGATGTGGTGGGGGGAGAGTGAGAGTCTTCACCAGAGACAGAGTGGGGAGCAGAGCAGGCGGATCTACTGAAATACATTCCTGTTGCAGATAGCTTCATAGTGCTGAGACTTAACCCTTTGCACCACAGGGGAGGCCCCTGAAAATGTTTTTGTGGGGGCAAATAAAGATACTCAATTCTGACCTGAAAGTTATTTCACATTATTTGGACTCTGGGTAACCATGAAGAGGTTTTATTTATTATATTTATTTTTTATTTTTTAAACTTTATTTTTTTAAAGATTTATTTATTTATACAAGCACTGGGTACAGTCAGAAGTGCGGGAGGGTGAGAGAATTCACCAGAGCCAGAGCAGGGAGCAGAGCAGGCAGACTGATGAAATACACTGCTGAGGAGAGCAGCGGGTAAAACAGGAGAGGTCTGCATGCCATGTGGGACCCTCGCCAGTGGCCGGGGATCGAACCGGTGCTGCAGAGGCTGTGGGCCCAACGCTCAACCGCTGCGACACCAGGGGAGGCCCATGAAGAGGTTTTATTAATACTTTAATCAATGACTTTGTTCTTTTGTTTTTGCAAACTAGTGGAATATTTTAAAAATAGATACAGATCAATGTTTTTGATAAGTATAAAATAAGTGATTTTCAATCGGTAAGATTGCAAGTACTATTGTTAATTGACAGTATTCTTTCTAAATAATGTGTCTTAAAATTGGTCGATTTTAATTTAATGAACTGCATCTTTAATGATCATAATTGCATATGTGATGTAAAGATATGTGGAAAACCATGAAAGTCTAAAATGGAGATATGTACTAGCCCTATAATCATATAGCTGTAATAATGCAGAGTCATATTTATGTTGAAATAGAGGGAGTGGCTAGTGCAGGCAAAGGCATCATCATGTGCAGAGACCCAGAGCAAGGAGGTAACCCAGCAGCACTGCAGAGAGCAAGGGCTGTTCCATTCTTCAAATTTATTCTCAAAAAAAAAGCACAAAAGAGAATTTCTGAGTCCGCTTAAATTGTGTAATTTTATTGAACCAAAATGACAAAATTTTTCCGATCAAAGTTTTGGTCACATATTCTGAGACATGTCATAAAGGTCATGTAGATAGAACTTACATGTGCAGCTCGACAGTGTGTGTTTGATTTTCAATACACACGTGGCATCGTTCTTGAGCTTGAATTGTCTTAGGGCTTGTGTGAAAATAAGCTTTTGGGAAATGAATGTTTATGATAACTCCAATCAAAAGGCAGTGAAGTTAAATGGAATTCAGATATATATTTTTTTTTTTAAATATTAAATTTTATTTTTATATTCCCCCATACAATTGCAAACGCCCCATTCTGACCCCAATCCTTCCCCTCCCGCCCCCACCCCCCAAAAGGTGTCTCTGGTTCATAGTTTTTTGTTGATTTTGATTTTCACTTTCTTATATTCATTTTCCTGGTCCCTTATTTAAGTTTTCTAGATTCCTGCTATGAGTGAGACCATCCGGTATTTTTCTTTTTCTTTTTGGCTTATTTCGCTGAGCATGATCCCTTCCAGTGCCATCCATGTTGCTGCAAATTGCATGTGTTTATCTTTTTTGAATGCTGAGTAATATTCCATGGTATATATGTACCACATCTTCTTGATCCAGTCATCTATTTTTGGGCATTTGGGTTTTTTCCAAAGCTTAGCTATTGTAAACAGTGCTGCTATAAACATAGGAGTGCAGGTGCTCTTTGGAATTGATGTTTCTGTGTCCTTTGGGTAAATACCTAGGAGTGGAATTGCTGGATCATATGGAAGCTCTATGTTTAGTAGGTCCAGAAATCTCCACACAGCTCTCCATAGTGGTTGGACCAGTTTGCACTCCCACCAACAGTGCACAAGAGTTCCTTTTTCTCCACATCCTCGCCAACATTTGTTGTTGCTAGTTTTTTTAATATGTGCCATTCTCACTGGTGTGAGATGGTATCTCATGGTAGTTTTGATTTGCATTTCCCTGATGACAAGTGATGTTGAACATTTTTTCATATGTCTGTTGGCCATTTGCATTTCCTCTTCAGAGAAGTTTCTTTTTAGCTCTTCTGCCCATTTTTTGACTGGATTATTTTCTTTGTTGTTGCTGAGTCTCATCAGCTCTTTGCAGATTTTTGTGATCAGTCCTTTATCATTAGTGTTGGGTGCAAAAATGTTCTCCCAGTTGGTGGGGTTTCTCTTTGTTTTTGTTATTGTCTCTTTTGCTGTGCAGAAGCTCTTTAATTTGATGTAGTCCCAGCTGTTTATCTTTGCCTTCACTATCACTGCTTTGGGTGATGTGTCTGTAAAGATGTCTTTGATGTGCAAATCCCGTAGTGTTTCGCCTATATTTCCTTCTATGTATTTTATGGTTTCAGGTCTTATGTCTAGTTCTTTAATCCATTTTGAGTTGATTTTTGTGTATGGTGTGAGGTAGTGGTCAAGCTTCATTCTTTTGCATGTAGCGACCCAGTTTTCCCAGCACCATTTATTGAACAAACTTTCTTTGCTCCAATGCATAGTCTTTGCTCCTTTGTCAAAGATTAGTTGACCATAAATCTGTGGGTTTATTTCTGGATTTTCTATTCGATTCCATTGGTCTGTATGTCTGTTCTTGTTCCAATACCATGCAGTTTTGATGATTATGGCTTTGTAGTATAGTTTGAAGTCTGGGAGTGTGATGCCTCCATTTCCTTCTTTTTTTTTCAGTAGAGCTTTGGCTATTCGGGGTTTTTGGTGATTCCATATGAATTTCATCAATAATTGTTCTATTTCTTTGAAGAATGCCATTGAGATTTTGATTGGAATAGCATTGAATCTGTATATTGCTTTTGGTAGGATGGCCATTTTATTTTTTTTTTTTTATTTTTTTTATTATTTAGATTTATTTATTTATTTATTTATTTATACAAGCACTGGGTACAGTCAGAAGCGCGGGAGGGTGAGAGAATTCACCAGAACCAGAGCGGGGAGCAGAGCAGGCAGAAGGACCCAAGTACACTGCTGAGGGGAGCAGCGGGCGGCAGGAGAGGTCTGCGCGCCATGTGGGACCCCCTCTGGTGGCCAGGGAGCAGCCGGGGATCGAACCGGCGCCGCAGAGGCTGCGGGCAGCTTCACAACCCAGCGCTCAACCGCCGCGCCACCAGGGAGGCCCAGGATGGCCATTTTAATAATGTTTATTCTTCCAATCCATGAGCAGGGGATGTCTTTCCATTTCTTTGTGTCTTCTTCTATTTCTTTTAACAGTGTTTTATAGTTTTCTTTGTATAGGTCCTTTACCTCTTTTGTTAGATTTATTCCCAAATATTTGATTTTTTTTGTTTCGATAATAAAAGGGGTGGTTTTTTTGATTTCTTCTTCTTCAGATTTATTGTTTGTGTATAGGAAGGCTAC